CTGGGTCAGGAGCAGGCGTGGTTCCAGGATGCAATATTCTTAAGTGAAATAAATAGGACATACATGTAAATACTGAATAGTTTCTCTGTTGTAGAAACTGAAAGTGCAATTAAGGACTAAAAAGTATAACAGATAATGTGTAATAGGAAGACACGGTGCAAAGTGCAAGGGGAAAAGGCAGGGTTAGGGGAATGGAAAGAAGGGAAAAGTACTAATATGAGAAAATGAAAAACTGGAAACAAAGTCTTTTTTAAAAAGGAAGTGAGCAGTTGAAGGGAGGCCAGGGGAATGGGGGAAAATAAGAACCAAGAGGGATTATGTAAAGGTGCAAATTTCCAATGATTAATGTCACTATATTGTATACCAAAATGTACCAATAAAATTAATCTTTAAAATCCTAAATGGGAAAAAATCACTCAAATTTTCCCAGGAGTAAGATCCCTGTAACCACTAAAAGACATTAGGCTCCTCTTCAAAGCAAGATTCCAGTTCTGCTTTACCTACAGTAAAGTCAAGTCACCAGAAATAGACACTGGTAGTCTCTTTTATCCCATTTTGCTTCACCAAGCTCTCTTCTGTTAAACAGGAAGCTCAATGTTTCTCCATATACACACACAAACTCCTCTCTCATTGTCTTCTGATAGGTTCTCCCCTCAGACCAGCCATCATCCTAAATTAGAGTAAATAATCCCCAATATGAAGAGCCTACAATTCTTTTCAGCCAGAGGTAACTTTTCTGAAGACACAGACCTCCACTTCCTTAGCAGCCCATAAAGAATTATGAGGATTTATATCTCTCCAGGGGAAATCAGCCAGGAGATTGAGGCATAGCAGTACTTGGGACAATTGGGCAGGAACTTTCAATCACAGAGACCTATTAATCCCAGAGATTCAGGACACATACATATAACAGAGTCCAAGTGCTGCACCTGATACCAATAAGAGAATTCCATAAAATGGGATACTACTGAGCTATAAAGAATGAGAAATTAGACTCCTTCATAGGAATATGGATATGTATTGAGGATATGCTCCTAAGTAAAATAAGTAAATCACACGTGTAAATACCGAATAGTTTCTCTGGCGTGAATAAACTGTAATAGAACATAAGATTCTAATGAGATAACTGACATTGTGAAATGGGAAGAAAAGGGCTAAAGCTGTAGGGAAAGTGGGAAGGGTAGGGGAAAGGTAATAAGGGAAAAATATGAGAAAATGAAACAATAGAAATATAGTGTTTGTGAATGGGGAGTGGAGGATGGGGTGAAAAGTGGGCAGGGACAAGGGGAAACAATGAGAACCAAGACCACCTGTCGTGTAAAGGTACAAGATACCAATAATGAATGTAACTGTACTGTATACCTAAAATGTACCAAGAAACTCAATAAAAGAAAAAAAAAAGAGAACGCTGTCTTCACTTCTTCTGATTTGAGATCAAGCCAAGCCCTGCACCTAATATCACTCTTCTGGCATGAGACCAAGTGGGGTTTTGATCGCATGACTGGCGTCTGATGTCAGGTCAGGACAAATGAAGGACTGTGTTCATTAAGCTCATGGTTTCTGTGAGCCTTGTCACCAGCCCACCATACACTCATCAGAGCAAACTTCTTTCCTGCTTTAAGTGGCACACACTCACTCTGCAGAACTTTAGTTTTCACAATACTTTTGCGTTTGAGCATTTCTATTCCGTTCCTTCTTTTTCTTTTCTTGTTCTTTTCCCCTGAATAATTATTAAACTTTTCATATTCATCAATTGTCCCATCCAGTTCTTTGAATGGGACAATAGCAATCTGTATACCTAAAAACTGGTATACATACACACATTCACACATACAATCTACGTCTAATGTACATCTCTGTAGAAAAGTGTGGATTTGCAATAAAACATCCCATTCCAGTCTGACTTTACAACATTTATTCCAGTTTTCTCTCTTTTTGAGTCAGTGACTCCCCTCACCAACAGTGCAAAACCAGGCTTCCATTGTCATTGGTACATTTATATATTTGATAGATTTCTTTTCACAGAGCCAACTTCCATCCGTCCCTTCTCATTCATAGATGTCTCCTTACTACACTCGGGTTCTCTGCAGCCTATTTAGGCAATGGCTGCTGGTGCCAGGACTCCTCTTGGTGTGCACCCTTTCCCACCTTGCTGAGGCTATCAGATCCATGCTAGGCTGCCCTTGCATGTGGATATGTTTCTATCGACTTTGGTCTGACTTGGACCAACCATGACTCTTTCTTCCAATCCACTGTGTGGCCACCATGTTGTGCCTTACCTACTGGATTCAGGACTGGATTACACAGATAGGGCAGAAAAAGAGCAATAAAGATGGAAAAAATCTCTATGACTATAGTTGCTAAAGGAACTTGGAAAATTCTTTCAGTTTTGCTCCAAATCACCTGATCAAAAGCTGGTTTGTACTTCCTGTTGTTCTTCTTGATCCTGTTGTTGTTGTTGTTGTTGTTGTTGTTGTTGTTGTTGTTGAATTTTGATTATATTAAGGGATCAGGAAGTTGATGATATAATACAAAGGAAATATGTTTCTAGGGCTGAGGAAGTAGCTCGATGTTAAAGTGCATACCTAGCACTTTCCTGTGCTCCATTCCATGGAAGGAAGGAAGGTAGGAAAAAAGGAAGGAAGGACATTTTTCTGCTTCCCAGAAACATCTGGAAAGATGATGCTAAATCAAAACTAATAAAGTAATGAATGCCTCATTTGAGTTTCACAAAAGCAAATACTTCACAATGGTACCATTAAATCATGGATATACTTTCCAAACAATGGTAAAAATCAGAGGAATAACACCCACCTATCTTAGTAAGTCAATGGGACCAGAGAAAGGACCCACATGACCAGTGACTATGATGATGGCTGAATATCATTTCTGGTTCTCCTGAAGTTCTCAAGCTTCCCTCTTAATGTGCATATTTTCAAAAGATATATTTGTGTACATTTTAAAGTAATGAATTTTTCCAGAATATTACATATGTTTCATACAAAGTTTACCCTAAAGTCACAGCAAGGATTCTCATCTTCATTAAAAATTGTTAATAAAATTACTGAGAAATGCCTCCTCTTATCAGCTCAAATGGAATTGATGGTGCCCTCTAGGCATAGAAGGAGATAGTCCTGTGAGAAACTAAGAAGGTCAAGGTACAGGTATGACACTCATTTACTCACAACAGATAGAATCTATACAGATATGGAGCAAGTTCAAAGAGTGTACTGAAGCTCTAATAGTTTTTCAAGAGCAGTTTATTTATCTCATCTTCATATGGGTTTTATTAAAGAGTAAATTAAAGTCTCCCTAAAGAGCACAGAGGAAGTCCCCAGGGAAGATCAGACTCATCTTATGGCCTCATCTCTTGGCAGAACCTTCAGAATAATGGCTTTCTCCGGCTTAAGAAGAATTTTTCTGCCTAATGTCACAGGGATCTGAAAATATAAAATGAGGATATTGAAAAGCAATAAATGAAACACCAAGAATCACGTAATCAAAATGGAAATGACACATTCAGTGAATAATACTATGCAAACACATAAAAGCCAGTTCTAAATCATTAATCTTGGATTTCTTAAACATAGTCGGTAAGTTATGTCAAGATCTGATAGTGACTTTTATTGGTACATTTTAGGTATTCATCGTTGGAGATTTGTACCTTTACATAGTGTATTCTTTTTTTTTGTTTTGTTTTGTTGTTTGGTTTTTTGAGCCAGGGTCTCTCTATGTAGTTGAGATTGACCTGCAGCTAACTATGTAGCCCAGGCTGGTCTCGAACTCACAGGATCCTCCTGCCTCAGCCTCCCGAGTGCTGGAATTACAGGTGTACGCCACCACACCCAGCTCACATAGTGTATTCTTCATTCTTATTTTCCCCATATTCTGCCTTCCCTTCAACGTTTCCACCCTTCCCTATTTACAAAGTCTTTGTTGCCATTTTCTCATGTTATACCTAATATGTACCGATAAAATTGAAAAAAATTTAAATCTGACTATGAAAGCATTCATCTAAATGTTCATACAGTAAATTACTGAGCACCTGTTTGATAAGATGCTGAGACAATTATGTTGACTTCTGTGCATTATTCACTTAAAAATTTAAAGATAAATTTTAACAATTCTAAACGTATTTTTGCATACTGGAAAAATGTTTTTAATGGGCTCTATAAAATTAATGTTATGTTGTTAAATTTTCCAAGATGATTATAAGTAGGTATTTGTTGTACATTTCAATATTTGGTCAATCAATACTCAATTCTAAAGTTTAATTCTGAAAAGTCTTAAGGAAGTATCATGCTTCTCATTCTTTGCATTTCATCTTCACTTCCAAAAACAGTACAAACAAGGAATGTCTCAGTTCTGCAGCACTTGGACTAATTAGATCCATATTCTCTATTCTTCTCAGTGACAAGGCCAAAGTCTTAGAGTAAGTTTATTATGTTAGTAGAGCAAATGGCATGTTTTCTAAATTATTATGGAGATTGAGAAGTTCCAGCTTATGAGTGACTAGGAGCTTACCATGGAGTTTGTGATCCATCCTAGGCATGCCGAAGTCCTGCTTTCTCCCTAGACTATTTCTATCTGCAGACATTTACAGGTCACCTACATAGCTACTCTAAAGCCAAAATATGAGATAATCACCACCGCTACCCTGCTTTTCTCCCAAGAATAAAGTCTGTTTATAGAGTGGTGTTGCATATTACATGCAGTCACAACTTCAGATTAACCTTATCAGTCATTGTTCATATTATTCATTGTCACTGTTATTTTTCAGGAGAGGTATTTCAAATCTTATATATACACCATCTTATGATTTTACTCTACTAAATAGTTTCCCAGGTAACGGACAGATATATAAACACACATGTGCACATGTACAAATGCCATTTACTAAATTTTTCCTTGTTTTTCTTTTGTCCCAGGGATCAAACGTGGGTCCTTACACTTGCAAAGCAGGTGGTGGAACCACTAAGCTAAATCCCTGGCCCTAAAATTTTTAAATTAAAATAACTTGAAACGTATTAAGATCTCCAATATAACAACAAATGATTCTTCAACATTCTCTGAATGCTTGCAGTGGGCTAAGTTTCTGCAAGGAATCGTTGGGAGTTTACACAACGAATAAAATGAGGTAATATAGAAGGAAGGAGGACATTCACCAATACAGCAAAAGACTAGAGAAACAAATTGTGTGGTTTAATGGCAAAGTATTAATGTTGGTAATGATAACATCCTGCAGCAGTTGTTAACAGAGCAGAGGAATAAATGGGTCATAGTCAAAATGGATATGGCCTACATCTGGCAGTGGGATTGGGACTTGAAGATAAGAACACAATGAGGAGGAGAATGACATGAAGATCCCTATACTTATGATGAGGATGTAAAAACTACATAGTTTATCAGGAGCAGAGCTCCTGAAATATGTTCTCAAATAACTAGGATATCCCTGAGTGGTGGAAGTCATTTAGGATATCTAAAATTACCCAGGCATGAGGATATTTTTAATCTCCTCAGGGATTTCAAGGTAGAGCCAGGGGTTGAGATCCACTGTCACATGAGAGCTTCTGTAAGTTCTAGTAAAGGAGAGCACCACTCAGAAACCATGCTGACATAAAACTGCAGTTTATAACTTTTGCACAATGCATTCATCTCAACTTCATAAACTCTACATGATCTTTATAGCTCTGCTTTATACTTGCACAGAGATTTATATTAGCACAACTCAAGGACCCTTCAATTTTGTATGATTACATCATATAGATCAAATAGATCCTCTTGCCATAGAATGAATCCTGAAAAAGTCAGTAAGCATGTTCACTTTTCCATTCAGACATATTTGTTTTTTAGAAACACACCTCCCAATAAAGCACTATTTATACAGAAAGTTAATTCACTGACTTGTGTTTCTTTACAAGGGTGGAAGGAGAAGTTCTGCAGGACTCGGATGAGAGCAAGTTTCATGTTCATGAGAGCAAACCGCATGCCAATACAGTTCCTGGGTCCATTCCCAAAGGGCATGTATATGTAAGGGTCAATGTTCTCCTTGTTCTTCTTACTGAACCTGGTGGGAAATAGTACATGAAAACAAATGCAGTGAGGGATAGATGAGGAAGGACACCGAAAATACAATCAAGAATTGTTTTTTTTTTTAAAGAAAGAAATGTTCTTATGTGCACAACCTTTGCATGATTAACTATAATCACTGTGTACTGTAAACATGGACTAATAAAAATTTAAATATAATCATAAGAACTAAAAACTAAATAAGTGAATGAAACAAATACATAAGAGCTACAACCTTGGATTTGTTAGCGAAACCCCTCCACTCAGAGTATACATGATATTTTGTGGGCTGCTCACTGAAATCCTGCTTTATTTATTTCACTGTACGCACTACAGCCTAAAGATCCTTTCCACTACTCTTACCACGTAGGAGATTCTATTCCTGCTAAGATGAGATGGGGTGAATGTGTGTGACAGAAAATAAACTTCTAAACACTAAAATCTCATTCTAGTTGATGATATGCTTCTATTTTGAAGGCATATAGGAATTAGACTGAATGATAAGAAAAAGTGTGTTCCCACCTCCACTCACACTTATGTTTGTCAGATGCTCACTGATAAAGAAGAAGGAAAAATGAGTTTTCCCTACCCTTCTGATCTCCTCTCTCTTCTTTTCACATCACTTTCATCATTATTTTTCTTTATCACCTCTTCCTCCTTGTCATTTCCAAAACTGTTCCTTTTCTCTCCTGCTCCACAGAGCAGTGAAAGTCAGGTTAGAGACAAGGACAAAGCATCATTCTCTGCTTTATTAATATTAAGAACTCGCTTGTCTATCACTCCACTAGGCTAAAAATTACCTAAAATTTAGAGCCATGCATCACTCAAATTTGATTTGTCATTATTTCATTATATTAATAAAAATATTGATTTAGATACCATGATAATTGTGGCTCTAGAGAAAACCAAAGCATATTTAATTTCCTAGATAGCTATAGAGATGGAGACCAGAATGAAAGACATATTTAGTGATATTACAACTTATACAGATTTTTAAAAAGAGAGAGAGAGGAGCTCAGGAAAATGAAGGAAAATATGAACTCCCAGCATAGGACAGAAATGGAAGCAATGAACACAAAGCATAGGAAAGAAATGGAATCCATGAAACAAATTCAAACAGATATCCAGATTAAAAACTCCATTTAAAGTTAGAAGCAGCAGGTTGAGCCAATGTGAGGACAGAATATTAGATATAGAAGCTAGGATTGTGGTTACTGATTACAAAAGGAGAGATTTCTTAAAAATAACAAGGAACCATGAGAAATGAATACAACAGCCATGAGATGATGCAAACCAGAATAACGTAAGACTGATTGGAGGCAGTGACAAATTGGGAGATAGTGCACAAAATGTTAAAAAATTGTTCAAAGAAGTCAGGGCAGAAAACTTTCCAAACAAGGGGAAAGAACTTGGCCTACCCATAAGTGAGGCTTATAGGACTCCAACTAGCCTTGAGTAAAAAGATCTACACATAGGAATATAATGGTCAAGATCCCAGAAATTCAACAGAAGAACATAATATTAAATCAGCTAGAGAAAAGAAACAAATGACATATAAAGGAAAGCCCATCAGAATCACATCAGACTTCTCAAACCAAACCTTCAACTGAAAGAGAGCCTTGAGTGAAGTATTTGAAATACTAAAAGAAAACAAACACCAACCAGTTTGATGTGCACTACAAAACTATCTTTCAAAACTGATGGAGAAATAAGATACCTTCATGACAAAGAACCCCTGAGGAACTTCCTGAATACAAAAGCAGCACTTCAAGCAATTCTAATTAATATCATAGAAAAAATGATGTAGACTAAAACATAACAAACCCCAACAGAATGAAGCCATGGGGCATGGCAAGAAATTAAATGCAAAGGGGGAAATTTTTAAAGAGGAGCCAACAAGAAAATATCATGACAATTAGTCAATACATATTAGTTATAACCATCAGTATTAATGACATCAATTCACCAATCAAAGAAATAGATTGGCAGAATGGATCAAGATGCGAGATACAAAATATGCTGCATACAAGAAACACATATAATTCAAAAAGAAATCATAGAGAGAAAATCAAAGGATGCAAAACAATACTCCATGCTATGGAATAAAAGCTGGGATAGCTACCCTATTTGGAGACAAAATGAATTTCAGCCCAAAACTAATTAAGAGAGATAAAGAACGTCACTCCATCTTGGCAAAGGTAACAACACAAGAGGAATAAGTGACAATCATAAATGTATATGCACTAAATACTATTGCACCCAACTATATAAAAAATATTGACATGAAAAAATTGAGTAAGTACTAATAGAAAACCCCCTTGTCAAAAGTAGATGAACCAGACAAAAGTTCTACAAAAAATATTATAACTGAACCAAATTTTTAAAGATATAGAGTTAATAGATGTCTACAGTGTTCCATACCACAAAATCAGAAAAGCCATTCTTCTCAGATGCACACAGGTCATTCTTCAAAATAGACCACATATTACCTCATAGAACATGATTAAGTAAATGCAAAGGAATTAAAGTTATCCCCTGCATAGTGTCAGAATATATTACAATGACATCAGAGATTAAAGCAAAGGAAACCAAAACAACCTTATAAAAACATTTAAATTGAATAAGACCCTCTTGAAAAATAAATGGGTCACAGAGGAAATTAAAGAAAAATTAGACAGCTTCTACAATTAAATGACAGTGCAAACACAACATACCACAGAATTTAGGAGACACAATGAAAGAAGCTCCACAAGGAAAATTCAGAGCAATGACTGTCCATATGAAGAAAACAGAGCTAGCTCAAATAAACAACCTAACAGTGAAACTCAGGCTTACAGAAAAAGAAGAGCAAGACAAACCCAAAGCTCATACAAGAGAGGAAATTATAAAGATCAGAGCAGAAATCAATGACGTGGAGACTGAGAGATTGACACAGAAAAGCAATAAAAAATAAGGGTTCAAACAAACCCTTAGCCAACCTTATAAAAAAAAGGAGGGGTAGTGATTTGTGTCATTAGCACTTCCCCTGCCTCCCAAGCACAAGGTTCTCAGTTAGATACCCGGTACCAGGAAAAAAAAAAAAAAAAAAAAAAAAAAAAAAAAAAAAGAAAAAAGAGAAAAATAATTGAAACTAGGAATGAAAGGGGTAAAATTAAAACACAGCAAGCAGAAATCTAGAGGATCATCACTACCTACTTTGAGAACCTGTACTAATGGAAACATGGAAGAAATGGACAGATTCCTAGATACATATCAAGAAGATATAAAAATTCTAAACAACCCAATAACTATCAATGAAATTGAAAATGCAATTAAGAACTTATCGACAATTAAGACCCCGGTCCTGGTGGATTCCCTGCTGAATTCTACAAGAAATTTAGAGAAGAGCTCATGCCACTACTTTTCAAACTCTTTTAATGAAATTGAAATGGAACAACTACTCCCCAATTCATTCCTAGAAGCATGCATTACCTTGATTCTGAAAGCAGAGAAAGACCCAACCAAAAAAGAGAGCTACACGTCAATCTCCCTAATAAACATAGATGCGCAAATCTTCAATGAGATAATCAGAAGCAAAATGCAAAAAAGTCTCAATGTCATACACCCCTACCAAGTAGGATTCATCCTAGGGGTGAAAGATTGGTTCAACACACATAGATCAATCGATGTTATACACTGTGTTAACAGAATCAAGAATACATACTGTATGGACATCTTAATACACACATAAAAAGTGTTTCTGCAAAGTCCAATGCCCATTCATGATTTTTAAAGCCTACAGAAAATTTGAATACATGGTGTTTATCTCAACCTGATAAAAGCCATGTATAAAAAATTAACCACCAACATCATGCCAAATGGTCAAAACAGAAATCTTTCACACTAAAATCAAGAACAAGAGAAGGATTCCACTATGACAGCTCCTGTTCAGTATAGCTCTGGAAATATTAGCCACAGCAATTAGACAAGAGAAATAAATAAAAGGAATAAAGATAGAAAATGAAGTTCAATTGCCATTATTTGTGAATAACGTGATATTCTGTTCGGAAGACCCCAAAAATTCCATCAAAACATTTCTAGATTTAATAACAAAATTGAGTAGAGTAGCTGGAAACAATGTCAACATTAAAATATCAATGGCATCCCTGCACATGAATAACAGACACATTGAGAGGGAAGTGGGGAAAGAACTCGTTTCATGATAGCACCCAAAAAGTTAAAATATCTAGGAATCATTTTAACAAGGGAAATAAAAGATCTCTACTTTGAAAATTACACCCCTCTTAAAGAGAGATTGAAGAGGATATCAAAAAATGCACAGACATACTCTGTTCTTGAGTGGAAAAACCATACTGGAAATGGCCATACTTCCAAAAGTGCTATCGAGATTCAACACAATAGAGATTGAAATTCCAACAGCATATTTCATAGAAGTAAAGAAAACAAACCAAAAATTTTCTTGAAACCAGAAGAGACCTACAATAGCAAAAGCAATTCTAGGAAGGAAAGACAAGGCAATGGGTATTATATCCCCAGATTGAAAGTATGTTACCAAGCTACTGTGATAAAAACGTCATGGCACTGGCAAAGAAATGGACCTGTGTATCAATGGAATAGATTAGAAGAAGATGAACAAACAACTCCACACATGCTCAGCCACCTCATCTTTGGCAAAGGAGCCAAACACCCTCACTGGAGGAAACATAGCCCCTTTAATAGATGGTACCAGAACAATTGGGGTTCAACTTGCCAAAAATTAAAACTACACCCATATCTTTCAACATGCACTAAACGAGAATCAAAGTAAATCAAAGACATGAATATTAAAACAGAAACTCTTAAGCTGCTTGAAGATAGATTATGTAGAACTGTTAAAGACAAGGGCATATGAAAAGATTTTATGAACAAAATTTCAGTCACATGGAAACTAGTACAGAGAATAAGCAATTGGGATGTCATCCTATTAAAAATTTTGTGCTCTTCAGGGAATACCTCCAA